CCAAAGAGTCATTCGTGTGGGTGTAAATGTCCATTAAATGAAATAATGAATTTTTGAAGAATTTTGAAAACTGAAAATCTTGAAAATCTGTGAACATCTTGAAACTGTTTGCACTGCATTTTTAAAAGCACCCAGCAGCAAGTGGTTAAGGAATAAGATTTGCACTGAAGATTCTTTGATAGCTTTGGTTATATATATGTGTCATTGATATATTGACGGCTGTTTCATGTCTTAATTCTAGTTCAAATTGTTTCAAGACCTGACTGCCACTGGGGAAATAAGTGTCGTACACAGATCAGTAAACTTCACCATGCAAAGTAAGTTGCCAACAGTTGTTTTGTATCTGCCCTATGCAAAAGTACCCCATGGTTGATAACCAACAAAAAGGTGTAGCTGACGTTGCATGGTATTGTGTAGCGGCTGGTACCCACGTATGCTTCAATGCTACAGGTTTCTGAAATAACCAGCGTGTATGCAAACTGTGCTCTGAACAAGCACACTGTTGTCATGCGTCAGTCGAGGATTGTTGCTTGGTGAATAGACCCATTCTTGTACACATTAGAAGCGGAACTCTCAGGAATCTCTTTTTGCATTCTGTCCGGTGATCCAAAAATATGCATGCTTCGTTGCATGAGAACGTCATTTGAGAAAATGATATAATATGATCAGAATGTTCCACATTTCCTGGTGGAAAACAATTAAACAAATTTTAAGTTTGTGAAAATAAAACAGGTACACATGTAAATTTGTAAATCAATGTTGTGCAGACTGCAGACTAATATTATATGTTTGCTTCAATATATTTCATTCTTGATTCAGATCTTTCATTCTGTATTCAGGACATCTTCCTGAACTGTTCTAAATAAAAAACAAACTATCAAATCAAACATGGCTAATATTAGTCTGTTTGGAGTCTGCATAATTTTGAGTAATCTGAATATTACTGTATCAATGGACCTACTGGTCTGTGGAAATTTGTACTGTTGCAATTACTTTGGTTGATTTTCTCACAAGGGTCATTTTCATAAACATGTGCCCTTTTTTCTTCTACAGGAATTTCAACCACATCTGTGAGCAAACTAGATTCTGAATGAAAACAAGAGCCGAGTTCATTGCTATCTCTTGCCTTCAGCCAGCCAACAAACCACTGCATTCATGGTATGGTCTGCAAATCACTACTGGTTTCAGAGTGGTTTGGGTATCATTGATTAGCCCCATAACCTGTCATGATTCATTACCCTTCCTCCATGGTTTTCCTCGTCTGATGTTCTGTTCTGTCACCATCGCACAGTGGTTGTAATTTCATTTTCCAACGAAGAACAGTCTCCATCACCCAACCACATGACCCTGTTACTACTCTCCACAAAGTAACTGTGTGAACTTACAATATACTAAGTTCGTTCTTATGATAATTTTAAACCGAACACAGCATTGTGTGATATGACATAAAATAAGGGTAATTTCCACATCGCATCCTCATGCGAAGATCACTTGTACATCGACTGTTACTTACCAACTTTTTGACACATTCTATTTTTCATCCTAATGTGATAATGGTAAATACACCTTCTTCCATGCTCGTTATTATTTTGTTTATACATGTAAAAGAGTAATTGATTTGCTGCTCATGTCATTTTGTTGTGCATATACCTTGGCATAGGCTCTGTGGAGATGCAGCAGTTCCTAAATGACGTAAATTATCATGCTCTAACATCCATGATGGTATCTGCTCTGAGCGGAACAAAAAAGGGTGTTTTTTCCGGTACTCACTGCATAGATGCGCAATGAGGCGTGCAGGTATATGTGCGTTTGATGCGGAGCGCGCTGATTACACGTAACCATTTTTTTCCGGAATGTATGGTCTTTGTGTACAGGCAGAATGCATGCAAGACCCACTTATAACCACCTGTCTTTCTTTCACCGTTTGGGGGTGCACTTCAGCTCTGGGCGGATATTTGCCAGGTCCCTTATTTCGCCACTTCCTGTGAAAACCAGTGAGATATAACAAAAAGTGGCAGTAATAAGGATTTGGCGACTATACCATCGTGGACGTTAGCCGTCATCAAGAGACTGATGTACCGTAGTTTTTCATGGAAATCCATTCTTCCAATCCACTGTACCTTTTGAATATGAAATCACATTTACCGTTTTTTGGTACTTTCCATTTTCACAGCAGTATATATATTGGTCACATTTGCAGTCAGTCTCAATTAAATACTCCTAGGATTCCTTTCCTCAATGATTGATAACATTCAGACTATGTTTGGATGACACTTTTTAAAAATACCTATAAAATAACTTTCCATTTTGATTGGAATGGTAGCAGTGAAAGTTATGAGGTTCATGTTTTCATAGTAAACTTGACCAGACTCATCAGAGACTCCAAACCTCTTCGATGATCACTAATGTTTTTCAAAAACCATGCCATTAGCTGTGCACAGTCTCAAGTTCTGATGCCCATGGTCTGATTGTATGAAGTCTTACTTATGCCTTTTAGCCGAACTGTCCTTATTCACAACAATTTACAACCTGAGTTGGTAAGGTTGTGAAAAGCTGCACAATCAGCTCAGATTTATGTAAATAGTTTCATTTCTGTTTAATGAGACGCTGAGGGTTGGTTGTTAGTTCAGTCAGAGTTTAGCCATGAGCATCTCGATGATTGCAAGAAATGTCAATATCAATCTCAGCTGATTTCCTGTAATCAATGTAGCCAAATCTTAAGTTGGTGTGTCTTCCGTATATAAATGTATCATTATTTCTTTTATCTTCTGGTTAAAAAGGCTCTGTACTCTGTGAGTTGGGACTTCTCACATGCTCTCTTTCAAAAGGCTCAATGTTACTCTTTTGGAATATGCAGGACTTCTCACATCCTCTTTGTCAAATTCTACTTTGTGTGAGTTGGCATGACTTTTCATATCCTCTGTTAGAAATGCTACAAAGGCATAACTTCTCACATACTCTCTTTCAAATGGCTCAGTGCTACTCTCTGTGAGTACGCATGACTTTTCACATCCTCTTTGTCAAATGCTAGTCTTTCTGAGTTGGCATGACTTCTCACATCCTCTGTCAAGTTCTACTCTTTGTTAATTGGCATACATTCTAACATTCTGTTACAAATGACTCAGTGCTACTCTGTGAGTAGGCATGACTTCTCACAGCCTCTTTGTCAAATTCTACTCTGTGTGAGCAGTCATGACTTCTCACATCCTCTTTATCAAATGCTACTCTTTGTGAGTGGGCATTACTTCTCACAAACTCTGTTTCAAAAGGCTTAGCGCTACCCTGTGATTAGGCATGACCTCTCACATCTGTAAAATTCTACTCTCTGTGAGTGGGCAGGACCTCTCACAGCCTCTTTGTCAAATTCTACACTGAGTAGTCACGACTTCTCACATCCTCTTTGTAAAATGTTACTCTTTGTAAGTGGGCATAATTTCTCACAAACTCTGTTTCAAAAGGCTTAGTGCTACCCTGTGATTAGGCATGACTTCTCACATCCTCTGTCATATTCTACTCTCTGCAAGTGGGCAGGCCCTTTCACATCTCAGTTTCAAAAGCTAATCTTTCTGAGTAGGCACCTCTTCTCACATCCTCTGTCAAATTCTACTCTTTGTGAGTTGGCATAACTTCTCACATTCTCCGTGTCAAATTCTACTCTGTATGAGTTGGCAGAACTTCTTACATCCTCTGTCAAATTCTAATTTGTGTGAGTGAGCAGGACTTCTCACATCCTATGTCAAATTCTAATCTGTGTGAGTGGGCATGACTTCTCACATTCTCTGTGTGAAATTCAACTCTGTGAGTAGGCATGACTTCTCACATCCTCTGTTTCAAATGCTACTCTTTGTGAGTTGGCATTACTTCTCACATACTCTGTTTCAAATGGATCAGTGCTACTCTGAGTAGGTATGACTTTTCAATTCCTCTTTGTCAAATTCTACTCTGTGTGAGTGGGTAGGACTTCTCACATCCTCTGTTTCAAATGCTACTCTTTGTGAGTAGGCATAACTTCTCGCATTCTCCTTGTCAAATTCTACTCTGTGTCAGTGGGCAGAACTTCTTACATCCTCTGTCAAATTCTAATTTGTGTGAGTGAGCAGAACTTCTCACATCCTATGTCGAATTCTAATCTGTGTGAGTGGGCATGACTTCTCACATTCTCTGTGTGAAATTCAACTCTGTGAGTAGGCATGACTTCTCACATCCTCTTTGTCAAATGCTACTCTTTGTGAATTGGCATTACTTCTCACATACTCTGTTTCAAATGGATCAGTGCTACTCTGAGTAGGCTTGACTTTTCAATTCCTCTTTGTCAAATTCTTCTCTGTGTGAGTGGGTAGGACTTCTCACATCCTCTGTTTCAAATGCTACTCTCTGTGAGTAGGCATAACTTCTCACATACTCTGTTTCAAAAGTCTCAATGCTACTCTGAATAGGAATGACTTCTCACATACTTCGTTACAAATGGATCAATGCTACTCTTTGTGAGTACGCAGGACTTCTCACATTCTCCTTGTCAAATTCTACTCTGTGTGAGTGCGCAGGACTTCTCTGTTTCAAATGGTACTCTGTATGAATATAGGCAAGGCTTCTCTTGTCCAAGTCCTCTGGTTCAAATGGTTCAATGCCACACCGTGTGAGTAGGCATGCTTTCAGGTTGTAATCACAAAGATTATGCCGTTATGCATGCCAAAGAAATCTTTCTGTGAGATGTTTCGTTTTCATCGAGACCATCTACTTGTCTCGTGTATTTTTTAAGGAGATCTTGATCACTAACCAGCCAATGGGAGGTTAAATTCTGTGATATTTACAAGCTGCTCTGAGCGGCTTGCTGGCAGAAGTAGTCGTTTTTTCAAGCTGCTGCAAGTGGCGCACCGTAGTGAAAGAATTCATTGGTCCAGCACATTCTCGAAACTCCTTTTTTCCTGAAATGATGCATTTAAGAAATTTGCATGAATTTATAAATCCGATTGAAGATTGTTGATTTTGCTTTATTTATGAAACAGCAACATCTTTAAAACATAGGCATATAGATGCAGTGTATATTTTTTTAAATACCTGTTAGTGCATTCTCTTTATCTCCCACTGTATGAACCCTGTGTTTATTCCAAGAATGATCATCATGTCCCGTCAGCAGTAAACATTGCACCATGTTTAAACCTTTAAATCCAAATCAACAAACAGATAACATTGTAAACCTTGAGACTTAAACATATGCAAGTGAATGAAATCTGTTATTTTCTGGAGGCCCTCAAGCAGTTCACCATCGAGCAAACAAAGAATTAAGTGGTTGCAGTTTTTCTCTCATCAATTAAAGCAAGCATTTGGCATCATCATGGAATGCTCGCTCCTAACACATGACTGATTTTATTTATTTACTTTATTCTGAAAGAAGGGTTCAATTTATTCCCCAAAATACTGTGGCTTATTCTTCAGACTTACTCAACTCTTTGTGAGATGACAGAGAAGAACGTTGCATGAGTTGTGGGCAGCAATACAATCAGACTACCAGCCTGCAGAAATCAAAATAGAAAGACCTACAACCCTGCTAATGTTTGTATTCACATTCCCCAGATTACAACCTCTAAGTCATCAATAATGTGTTCCATCCACTTGCTCATGCAATACCTCCAGTTTCTGTTAAATCACAAGAAATACTGTTCACATGGCTAACAGCACATGCGAAATTCCAAAACGCAAATCAATAACACCTACTAAAGATATCACATTTTGATTTACATCTTATCGTGAATAGAGCAAGAAGTTTAAAACACACAATAACTATTTGTCTCAAAATGGAACAAATTGCCCAGCACCAAAACTTCTGAGTCCATCGTACACAATATACTGAAATGCAATCTCTCGAAGACTACAGCACCTCTAATTTGGAGATTTTTTTACGGGAATCATGCCTCAAATTTCCGAAAATGTTATTCAGAAAATATCCAGATACATTTTATCTTTATTGCGTAGATAAGCGTTGTCTTTAGCATATAAAATGTCCTTCAGCATTCAGTATAAGACGATAAATGTTTGTTTGGAGACTGTCCTGCATCCACAGAGCTTATGATATAAGCGTCTTAGCCATAATGCTTGTATCTCGAGAAATGTTAAAGACTAGCAAAAGGTTTTCCATGACCGCTGTTAAAGTTTTCCAGCCATGGATATTGTGAGCTTAATGTCTTAGCATAGTAAGTTAATTCTATCATTAACATCGTTAGATACAAGGAGGTCTGAAGGAGAGTCAGATGAATAATCTTGAATGTACTTGCCACACGAGGGCAGGTTATATTCTGCAATCGATGTAAAATGTGCAAACTTTTCTCTCTTTTCCATTTTTATAGATGACATTATGAATTCAGTATTTGCAGCGTGAAGTTGTTTGCTGTTGCTGTCTCTTTACTGGGATGATCTTTTGTGTACAATGACATCTGCTTCTTGCTAGTTTATCACATTGATCACTGTCCCGTTTTAACATATTTGATTGTCAGTCACAGCCATGAAGTGACATCTTAGAATTGGCTAAATCTGGTTTGTCACGTTTTTTGTGGTGAAAAGTTTATCCTCTTCCATAGCTCATTTCAAAGAGATTTCGCGGAATTTAAAGAAATATGACACTGTTGAATATAAACGTGTTTTAGCTATGATTTGGTTTTGTACGTACATACATGAGTGCCAAACATCCTTGAATTCTTGATGTCGTGATGAGGGTTAGTTATAGTGCAGTTGAAATCAACACATTATGAGTAGTTCTTGTTTGTTGCTGGGATCACAAAGAATCTAGATGTTGTTCCTCTCCTCCTGTGAGGACTTTTTCCAGGATTTCATAAGGCTCTGGCCATCAGGGCTCTTGGAAAGTAAAAGTCTTCATGTAAACCGATAAGTAAGTTTGTTGTTTGTTTGACTCGAACCCACGACCTCCTGCGGACTAGTGCAGACGTCTTAACCATTGGACCACCGAGCTTGCCGGTGTCGGCTGGCTGGTTGGAATCAGATGAAGCAGCGGGTAAAACCGCTGGAAAACTATTTCAAAGATGGATTTGCGCCGGGGAGATGGAATTTGGATTGATTTTGGATTTTTTTTCCCCGCTCTGCCCGAAATATGCACGTCGGCGGGGAAAAAAATCCAAAATTAATACCTGTGACTCCCCAGAACAATCCAACCCAAGATAAAAAGAAGATAAACAACAAGAAAGCGATCATAGCAACTGAACTGTGGAATCTAAGTCCATCGTACGCTTTGTAAAGTTCACCTGCATCTGTCACAGAGGTTTGGTCGGCTTGAAACACATTGCCCGTTACACCGAGAAGAAAGAACTGCTGATAATTGATCAACAAACTGAATTCCAGTGCTTGCATCAGTAGGCTAAATAGATTTGGTCTGACATTATACTGGGGCCATTCTAGTACACTTGAGTAGCCTCCTTTGAGAAAGCCATGAAATTTCTACCTTTAGAGTTGACGATTGGAGTGAACCTGTGCATAGCCGAATAAGAATGAGAGTGATGCTGTTTATGCTTCCTCTGTAAACTAAGTACAGTCACTATCCCATATTTTTTTACATGTTTACTACACAGTAATGGCATTTCCTACAGCCCTTTTTAGGTGGCTTGGTCACAGAGCAAGAAAACACTTCAACACTGTTGGCATTCTCAATTGATTTTCAAAATATCATCTTCAGCAGTTTCAGATTTCAAAAGTCTTTTGCATGGAAGATTAGCTTTTAGGCATTGACCTTTAAGCACCTTCCTACGTAGCAGCCGCAGCATTGCACACTATACCTTGAGCAGGTGGTTGGGTCATTCAGACAATTCTCTACCTTCCAACCATAATGAGCGGTAGATGGTGTATCTGTCGCTGCAAGTCCTTCTTGTGGACTGCAGCTATCTTTGCAGCATCTTTGCGTCTTTACAGGAGGCCGTGCTCTGTTAATGATAATAAACAAAAGTCTTTGGTCTCACATATTAATATTCCTATATCTTTTGTCCCACAACAAAATCCTTAACCAGTCTTGGAACTTGGGTTGGCATTGGAGGAGTTCGTAGGCACCATACTTTCCAAAGAACACAGTGGCTGAATCACTTTTTCAGTGATAAAAATGCTTCACTGCGTCTGCGACCAGGAAATAAAGGCATTTCAAGCACTTGTCAGTTTCTATATGTCCTGAATGGCAGCATCTTCTGCCCAGATATCATACAACTGACCTGTTTTGGTGATCCTTCATATCTAGTACCATATCTGCCGATGCCTTGATGAAGAAATGTACCTGTATTGTTATAAACCAAGGGACAATATCACATTACAAAGAAGCTTTGTACATAGTTCATAAACATCGTGAGGATGTAGCATTGAAATGGATCTGTTCCAGTGTACTTAGCCCTGTATGGTTGTTCTGCACCCGTGTGTCATACATCACTCTTTTCAAGTAAATTAGATGGGTTTGTGGTAGCACCATGGATATATCTCTTTATTGGCAGCACACCGTCGGTGCTACCGCAAATCTCTCAAGTTTACTTGCTCCCTCCATCATGAAAAGCTTCAAATGTCATCTTTGTCTTCTTCGTCACCTTTCTCACTCTACGACAGACTATAACAGGGATCGTGTTGTTCTGTGTCACAAGGGACGTGAAAACAATTCTCCATTAATGGGAATTGCAAAGTCTACTTTCTTATGCCTTGCCCTTCTCTGCCCTTTCCTTGGGCCAGCCTTGAAGTGAGGCCGTAACATTTCCAAAGACTTCTGAATTCCTGAAGGAAAACCATGACCACCACTTGGGACTGCCTTATCAGAATTGTTTTTGAATCAGATGTAGCACTTTGATCTGAAGGAAGAGGTTTAGATCAAAGAAGTGCGCATTTTATTTCAAATTTTGATATTCAGGTATCAAATTTTGAATTTTCGGTGTTTGCTTTAAAGGGCGTGTGTAGGATTTACCAGATCTCAAAAACGCGACTGTCGAGTTATCTTGAAACTTCTTACTGTAAGTAAGTACATAATAGTGTCAGACAATCTGCAAAATTTTACCGCCAGAAATGCTGTCAAGTACAATTCATTCAAATTTTGCAACCGTTAACAGGCGCAGCAAAAACGTGTGTAAAGCATTGAGCTGTTAGAAGAGTTAATGAACGCCAATACGCCTTCGCTAAGCCTAAACTCATGATTTAATAAAAACATAAAAATAACTAACATGCAAAAGGAGAATTTGGACTTGTTTAAAATTAAAGTTTCGTTTTGAAACTGTAGAAGTTTACCTCACGTGAATATATCTTCTCGCTGCCACCCCTTAGATAATGGTATGGGCCATAATCGGTGTACAGGCACTCAGGAACGTCCTGTGGCCCATGGATTTTTGCGAGACAAGTTACACCAGCTGCGCTTCGAGAGTTAAAACTAAACTGCGTTTTCCCGATTTTTCTCCAAGGAGTGATCTAAAAAAAATGGATCAGATTTAGGGAATGATCGACAAAGTAAATCACAAACCCCCAAATCGGCCAATTTTGGCAAAGTGCTGTAAATGTAAATCCTACCTTTAAGGGATACAAAGGCACCAATATGTTTTCAGTCAGGTTCTTGGTGCCCTTTGCACACTTTTCTTGCTCGTGCCAATTCTATTTTTCCACCTATCGGTACTTCAATCTCCTACTGGCAAGTTGCCCATTGAGACCATTTGTAGGTAGCCCATCTTTACAATCCTGAAACCTTGTATGTGTCCGTACCCAGATACCTCATTCAGTAAGGAGGTGCTGTGGGAGGTTGTATGACATGTCTTCTTGGATCCCCTAAGGAGCAGTCTCTTCAAAGTTGGATCTAAGGAATGAACCCTTGGAATCATTTTCCCAACTTGTTTTATTAAATTGATCCATAGTTTTATCTCATGATCAATTTGTGTCCAATTGATCATTAAGTCGATAGACGTTTTTAAGTGTCATTAAACTAAAGTGCAGTTTTTGGTAGATACTCCACCGAAAATTATGTTTTTGACCTTTTTCAGAATAAACATCCATGTTTAGCATTTGAAGCCACACTGAACACCGTCCCTGTAGATGTGTTTCTTCAGAGGCAGTCGAACCATTTTAGAACTGTTTATCTTACATTTATTATGTGCCAGCCGAGATAATCATCTCGTCAGAGCTACATGTGCTGCTTAGAAGAAATGAAATACCCTCGAAGTTGAGGTCATGTCCATAACCAGAATTGCTGCGTTCCTGTCTTATAGTACCTCCTTGTTCAGGAGGAGTTTACAAGGACTTTTTTGCCATTGGATCACAAAGAAACTTGATATAGTCCACCTGGTTGATTTCAAGAACACTCCTTGAAATGGAAAGTGTCATGGAATATCGACCAGACATTGGATGTATTTATTCCCGAAATCTACGAGTTTGGTTATGTTTACCTGCTGGTGGTGAAACGTTTTCTTCCACGCAATCTCACTGTGTTCCATTCCGTTCTGAACAATGAGTACAAATGGTGCCTTCAGATTTCATGCAGTTCCAACAATTTTGTCCCAGCGTGCACATTTCAGAGCATTTATGCGCTTCTTAGGTGGTTGTTGACGGTTTGGAGTCTCTGAAGTCGGTTGGATCTGATCAAAGAATCCCCCGATCTCTGTATCTTTAATTTTATGCTGCAATTTTATTTCTAGCACATTTCATATTTTAACATACCTGTTTCGTTAATGAATTGAAGGTGTTTAGTAATAACCCATGTACACTTCTACCAAAACCTCACAGTACCCTGACTGTGAGGTCATGGACATGAAAGAAGTGGTGTGCAGAAATATTGAACTCATTCATGAAAAACGTGAGAAAACACATGGAATATAAGGTGAGCAGTTTATGGCTGTTCTTGACATCCTTTTCAATCAGCTCCAATGAAATGCATTTTCCCTAAATGTATTACGTACTACAGTGCTAAATGATTTTGTACATTAGTGTGAAGTGTGTGAAAGTAAATGAAGTTCTCAATACCAATGAAAGGCAATAAACACGTGAGTCATCGTTATGGTCGTCTTTACGAATTCTCATATTACCATCCCTCGTCCCCCAACATCAGATGGAAACTATGTTTAGCAATCATTTCTGCCAATATTCTGGTACCTCACGTTTCATTTGTTTGGCAACTAGTCTCCGTGTTCACGTGATTAGTGGCCTTTGTAGGCGTGTTTTCATAATCTCCACTGACGCCATTAGGAACGAAACAAAATTACAGTATCTGAGGACATGGCTTCAGAACATCTGCCCATCTATGGACCTCCGCCGCTTGGAGGACGAAACTGACGGTGCCGTTAATCAGTAAGAGGGACGACCTCAGGCCCTGCCTGATGAAAAGATGTTCCGCACCTGTTCCGATATCACAACATTCAGAAATTACCAGTCTATGACATTTAGACTTATGCACTAGTAAAACCTGTAATAAAGTTTCATTACGGGGTCTTTGATCTGAAGCCATGTACGTCGGAGGGTCTGTCCCCTCCCCCCCCCCACAAAATCTACTGGGTTTGACCTTTTCTTGGTCAATCTCACAATCTCATTGCATCTCCATCTGTCTGCGGTGTGTTATTATTAACCGACCTGTCGCCTACGCAACTCATATGTGTGTCTATTTTTGGAAGTTTGCCAATCCATCCAAAGTCTGCTCCCTGCATGAAAACAGTTTCCTGGGAGCCTGGGATTTTGTTGTGTGAATATTAAGCTCAAGACTTTGCTTTAGTCGCCAAAATAAAAAAAAATGTTGAATAAAACCTCGGAAATATCAATGAGACCGTGTATTTTGTTGCATTTTATTTTCGTTTGCTTTTACATGTACTGATTCCGAGATGATTATATTCCTCACAACATTATTTTCTTTAATTGGCGATAAATTGTAACATTGTGGTATTAATATGCAAAGTTTTTCTGATAGTTTGACTCTGCGATTTTAGAGTTCAAGACAGAAATCCTAGTGTTTCAATGTTGTAATTGGACGAGCTCTCGTATGACACAACATGGTTGTCAAGATAAATGGACTGAGGCGTCCCAGCGTCCTCACGGCGATCAAAAAGAAAATTAAAAATGACGATGAAGAGAAAGCTAACTAATCTGCCATTCTATTCAAACCAAAAGGTTAACCGACCACCTTATAGCAACAGAAATATTTCAATTTTGCCGTGAGCTCCTTATGCACACCTAGCACGCAGGTCCCGTAGATACTCAAGATCAGCCCCTGTGCAGCTTCATTTGATGTAGTGACTCCATCGGGTCAACACTCCGATAAGTCTCGCTCAGCCGATCGTCAGCACTCACCTGTCCATCAGATGTGTTTGTGCGTTTTATTTTAAAGTCCAATCTACAAATTGCGATGTAGAGAGTGTTTTTCAAGGACTTAATCTCACAGAAGACTGTGGAACGCACCAGGGTCATTTATCATGAAAGGTAAGTGGAAATGGACGAGTTTGAGTTGTATGCAAAAGTAGTGTCTTTGGACGATTAGTCGCAGTATGGCAGAACGAAATATTTTGATGGCTATTATCACTTGCATCTGTTCATGAAACTCTTAACAAACTTTATCGTAACGACAGATCACTTGTCTTCCACTTGACTTCAGCGATTTTCTTTGTAGCATTTCTATCTGCAAGTCATAACCTCTTCAGGTTCAACCATCAGCGTCACGTCTGTCAAATTAAGAAATAATTGTAGAACAATACACAATAACATTGCTTCCGTCTCTCCGAGTTACAGTGTCAAATAGTTTTTACTGTTTACTGTCCATTTGATTCTTTTAAGTTACGATCAATAAATTCTTTACAGAATTAGTAATTATGTATAGACCTGTGATATTCCTCCATAAAACGAAATGGCAAACATGTTTACTCCACATCATATTGCGCAAATATGGTCAACGAGCTTATAACGGGTCGACATTTTCATTTTACAACATGATATACACCAAAGACTTAAGAAAAATCAGTGTAAAATGGAACTTTCTTAACATGTTACACGGAGGCCAGCCTTATCCATTCGGCAGATACGCTGACGAATTCGGTAGTCGAGTACTATCGATCTTTCTATCACATTCTACCCGTCGCACGTGCCCATGGCGACAACAATCTCAACGTGAACCTTGACATTAAAACTTTGGAGCAAAATGCAGACCATTTGCAAGACAGATTTCAGATAAAAACGAATCTGTAAGTACTTCCCACAACACACGGGTTGTTTTCGACTTTTAAAAGCAGATTTGAAGCCATGCAGATATGCCATCAGATCTTCCGTAATACAGGCATCACAAAATGCGTCTTCGAGCAAACCGGTAAAGTTCGTCACTTGTGTCGGTTGCTCAAATAGTTTTGCCATGCCTACTGGTGGTGAGCACCATGTTTGTCAGTTTAAAAGTGGACAGCTTTATGGAAGTAACGTCATTTGGTGTGATTTCATTAGGGCAGCGTCTGAATGACTTAACCACAGCTGAAACAATACATTTGTCTATTAAAGACAATGGGCTAGCCGCTGCAGCAACATGCCGAGTGTCAGTTAGCCACAGCCGCTTGATTGGATTTCGATCTTTGTTCCAACCAATACGATTGCGCAGGTATTTGCACATACTGCGCTCGGCAATTGAAACAATCCTTAAGATTTCGTTGCCCAGAACTTTGTCTGAAAGACTTGGCAGAGACTTAGCAAGAAGGTAGGCTCGAAACATGACCATACATCTTAACTCTCCTGACACAGCACAGCAATTCTGTTATTTTCCTTTAGGGACTCTTGACACGTTCCTCATGCAATGCAAATTCTCCTCTTGTACGCGCGTGTAACTAGGAGCAAAGCCACTTACACAATTCACAGGAGGAGAGTTCGTGACATCGACAGTCAACTGCCGCATTTTGTAATTACGTATTCGGAGGAAAGATGGTTGATAACAGGATGTAACTCCCACGCATGTTGCCCAAATCATTAACTCTGCATGTATTTAAAAGAAGGAGGTGCTGGTTTTTTGACGTACGTGTATTTGAAGAGTGTTTCGGGGCGAAAGGCTTTAAGTTTTTGAGTAATCGTTCAAGCATTCATATAGCGGAGGAAGATGGTTTAATATTATGCCGTACAGCTTGTGGCAAAATAAGGTAAGCCATATCCATTCTGGCATCAGATACACGGTGTTAATTTTGAATCAAAGCCAGACAATTTCGCTAGAATCGACGACATTGATCGAATGGTTTATTCAAATGCAGACCGAAGTACATGTACGTGTAAAATGTTTGTGACCAAAACACCTGGAAAAGCCATCTAGGCAGGTAGGTTTGCCCATAGCAAAAAAGAATTTTTGGCCCCATCTAGGTTAAATTACAGATTAGTCTACGAAGACACCAGTAAGATGATGGTCAATTTTGGAATATTTTTGTAACTCCGTATTCCACGTTGATATCATCTTATTTTACTCACTTTTGGGTACGTTCATGTTCTATTTTCAACCTAACAAGTCCGAATTTGCATCCATATCCATTTGGCGCCCCAATTTAGCCTCTTAACAAGCGTCCTGATTATGCCGTTCAAAACTCCAGCTCATTGCATTTTGCCGCTATACGCGTCCCCTTTTCTCCTTCTGAACTGACATAGGTCGGCTAATATGCAAATCTAGACTAATGCCAGCGTAAAATGTCAGAAAATTAAAAACCAGAGGGACTGTTTGCTGCAAGACGACACTTCTTCAGTGTATCGCTGATGTTTATAAAATGCAACAACATACGGCTGTATCAACGAGTTCTTTCAGTAAAGGTCGTTGAAGACAAGGTCGTATAATGGATAACCATCGCGACTGGCATCTGACGATATGAGCAAGACAGAGAGAGAGGCAGTGCATATGTTTTTAAATCTGGTGGACAAAAAAAAAATCAATATTCAAGAGTGAAAGAGAGAGAA